GGATAACCGGGCACCAGGGACACTGGGGACTTGGGAACACCGAGGCTTCGGGACACCGGGAACATCAGGACACCTGGGACACCAGGGCTCTCGGACTCCAGATCGCCGGGACACGGGGCTTCATGCCACCCGGGGCTCTGGGACACTGGGGACACCGGACTCCAGGGACCTCCCGTGCAGTAACACCTCCCCCCAGCCAGTGCCACCACCACAACACCCAGGGCAGCCAACACACGGCTCTTGTGCTTTATTATCCATTGTGGCCGCTTACAGCCCTCGCATCCCGGCCACCGGCTCCGTCCCCCGCCGGTGTCCCCAGCGCCGCTGCAGCTGGCACAGCAGGTCGGGCAGCAGCGAGTCCAGCACGGCCAGGCCGGCCCAGGTGCACCGCAAACCACTGGGGAAAAGGCRATGGGTGAGCCCCGGTGCCCCCGGGTGACCCCCGGCCCTGTGCACGGCTCCCCGGAGCTCACCCGCTGTCCAGGACCAGCCAGCCCTGCTGCTGCAAYGCCTGAGCCTCCCCCGGCGTCCCGAACACATCCTGCAGGCTGAGCTGAGGGGAGAAATGCCCCCAGCGCTGTGCCCAGGGCGAGAGAAGGGTGTTAGTGATGKGACATCAGTAATGGGGCATCAGCATCCCAAAGGAGCTGCAGGAGAGCTGGAGAGGGGCTTTGGACAAGGGAATGGAGTGACAGGGAAAGGAAGGAATGGACAGGAAGGGCAGGTTTGGATTAGATATTGGGAATAAATTCTCCCCCGTGAAGGTGGTGAGGCCCTGCCACAGGTTGGCCAGAGAAGCTGTGGCTGTCCCATCCCTGGAAATGTTCGAAGCCAGATTGGACAGGGCTCATAGCAACCCAGTCTAGTGAAAGGGGGTGGAATGAGATGCACTTTAAGGTCCCACCCAACCCAAAGCACTCCATGATCAGCACCAGTTCGATGTGTTGGGGGTGTCCCCACGGGTGCTCCTCACCTCRTGTGTGATGCCTTCATCTGTGCGCAGCCCCAGGGTGAGCACCTCCTCCAGCCTGTGGGGACACGGAGAGCTGTGGGGCAGCACAGACAGGGAGGGGGTTTGGGGGGACCCCAGCACTCACTGCTCCAGCGGGCTCAGCAMCGCCCGACTCCTGGTGCCGTGTCCCTGGCTCTGCACCTCCCGCATCCAGGAGACGGGCTCCAGGGTCTGCACACGAGCTTCCCGGCTGCGGCCGCCCTCTCCCCGCGGCACGAAGCGTCCGTGTGCCCCTGCAGCAGCCAGGGACAGGGACGATGAAGCTCAGGGGACACATGGCCACACACACACCCCTAGAGACCCCCTGTCACTCCCTGACCTGGCCCCACGCCGATGTACTGGTCAGCCCGCCAGTAGGAGAGGTTGTGTGTGCTCATGGCACCCTAGGAGAGAGCATGGTATGGGGTGATGGGGAGCTGAGCCTGCTGCGGGGGCAGCACAGCGTGGGGGCACGGCATCAGGGGCATCCCACCTTCTGTGCAAAATTGGAGACCTCGTACTGCCGGAAGCCGGCGGCCACCAGCACGGTGCGGGCCGTGTGGTACATGTCAGCCAGCAGGTCCTGGGGGGGCTCGGGCAGGGCTCCCCCCCGCACCCGTGCCGCCAGCGCCGTGCCCCGCTCCAGCGTCAGCTGGTACAGGGAGATGTGCTCGTCACAGAGCCCCAGGGCCGCCTCCAGCCGCTGCGCCCAGGCATCCCGGCTCTGCCCCGGCAGCCCGAACAGGAGGTCGATGGAGGTTCKGCCGGGGAAGAGCCCCCGCGCCGCTTCCACAGCTTTCCGTGCCTCCTCSGCCGTGTGCTCCCGGCCCAGCAGCCGCAGCTCGGCGTCATCCAGCGACTGCGGAGAGAGCACGGTGACAACGGGCTCACGGGGGCTGCGGAGGCCGTGCTGGGGRCGAGCCCCTCTCACCTGCACGCCGATGGAGAGGCGGTTGACCCCGGCCGCCCTGAAACCAGCGAGGCGCGATGTGCTGGTGGAGCTGGGGTTGGCCTCCAGCGTGACCTCAGCGCCAGCAGCGAGACGGGCAACCCCCGCCACCGCCTCCAGCACCACCGCAACAGTGCGGGGGCTGGCCAGGCTGGGGGTGCCCCCGCCGAAAAACACAGACGTGATGCTGTGGAGCAGAGGGTGGGCAGTTGCCGGGGGGCACTGGAGGGTCCCGGCGCTCGCCAGGATCCCCCCGCGGGTGCGCACCCACCTGTGCACCTGGCTGAGGCGGAGCAGGGTCTGCGCCTCCCGCACCAGGCAGGAGCGCACGGCCGCCTCGTCCACCGCCGGCACCACGTACGTGTTGAAACTGCAGTAGGAGCAGCGCTTGCGGCAGTAGGGCCACTGTGGGGACGGGATTTGTGGGGACGGCCATGCCCTCACCCACCCACAGCCACCCCATACTGAGAGGGAACAGCACCAGCCTGGCGCATGGACCCCAGTGTCCCCCAATTACCCCACAAAGCACACGACCCACAGGTGTCACCCTGCTCAGGGGAGCCCCGTGTGCCCCATGACATGTGCAAGGCTGGGCTGTCCCCSCAGCGCAAGCCCCGGGGTCCCACATGCACCCACGTGTGTACGAGCCCSGAGCAGCCACATTGACCTTCTACCTGTGCCAGCCCCGGGGTCCCCGTGTCCCCCCTCTAACGTGTGCAAAGCCGGCGGTCCCCGTGCACCCCGCACATGCACAAGCCCCGGTGTCCCCGCCGTGTCCCCGCTCACGTGCACGTAGAGCGCGGCTGTGGCGGGGGCGGAGGGTTCCGGGACCGGCTCCGGGGGCGGTTCCGCGGCAGCACCCGGTCCCGGTCCCGGTGCCCGTCCCGGGCCGCCCCCGCCGGG